TAGGGCCAGATATGACAACATGGTGAAGTATCAGAGGATGTGAGAAAAGTATTCCTATGCTTCCTTCGATAGCTCAGCTGGTAGAGCGGAGGACTGTAGGCTCCTTGCATGGCCATCCTTAGGTCGCTGGTTCAACTCCGGCTCGAAGGAGGAGTCACCTTTTGCCTCTGGCACACACGTCCAGAACTGGCACTGCTGCCTTCTTCTGCTCCTGCCCAGGAGGCTTTCCTTCGAAGGCCTGTCTAGCCATGAGCTCTTGCCTGAGTTTGGCAAGGTATATTTTTGGGTGAACCATTCCTTGGGCAGGGGATGGTGGTTCTGACCATGGGTGCTGTCTGCAGTCACTTCCAGCAGGACTGTGAGTGGGTGGGTTGGTGGTATGAGCACGATATGAATGGAGGGCCCAGGCTTTGGGTGCAGGGCATCCTGGGTCAGGGCTGGGAGGGAAGAGGACCTGGGCCAGAGGCTGCAGGGTGGGGAATTAGCTCAAGTGGTAGAGCGCTCGCTTAGCATGTGAGAGGGAGTGGGATCGATGCCCGCATTCTCCAGTACTTTTCATTCCCCCATTCCTGGACATAGAGCCCTTTGCCACAGATCCATATATTCACTGGGGGCTGTGGGAAGATACAAGGTGTGCCCTGGATGTACAGAGGAGGGTTTTGTATCAAGACTACCACGGGCAGTTTGGCAGAAGAATTGATCTTCTCCCTCTTTGCTTGACAGTTCTCAAGTATCAAGCAAAGTATAGAAAAGGACATCTACGGAATAGAGAAACCTCAGTGGAGAGCCACCAAGGGACTCAAGAAATTCTCTTTAAAGACAAACTGAAGAGAGTAGGTTCTTCCAGTTTACAGAAAGAGATGTTCAGAGGACTTACACATGATGTTCCAACGCTGTTACAGAACAGAAGGATGGCTGTCATTTTGTTTTGTCTTATGCTTGAGCAGAGAGCAAAAGACAGCACTGTGAAAGGGAATCAAAGGAAAATAGAGCAGGATAAAGGTAAGTTCTGTGTGGCTGTGAGGAAGTTCATCTGAAGAAGATGATGTCCAAAGAAGTTATGGAGCATCTCTGTGGTTTGCATGACTGATGGGTTGAACAAGATTCTGTGATGTCTCAGCTGAGGCTGTTTGAAGCAAGATTTAGTAATAGAAGCATGATGGTGTACTGTGCTTGGCAAAAGTGCTGGGTGTGAACGGGGTGAGGTCCCCCAGGGCATATCCCATGCTTCCTTCGATAGCTCAGCTGGTAGAGCGGAGGACTGTAGGCTCCTTGCACGGCCATCCTTAGGTCGCTGGTTCAACTCCGGCGAAGGAGGAGTCACCTTTTGCCTCTGGCACACGTCCAGAACTGGCACTACTGCCTTTTGGTCCTGCCAAGGGGGTCCTCTTCAAAGGTCTGTCCAGCCTTGAGCTCTTGTCTGATCTTGAGAAGTTGACCAGCCAAAGCATTTTTGGGTGAACACTGGTCACGAAATTGTGATTTTGAGTACTGGCGTTGTCTGGAATCACAACCAGTAGGAACATGATCAGTTAAGTTGTTGATGGTGTGACAGTGATATGGAGGGCCCAGGCTTTGGGTGCAGGGCTCCCTGGGTCAGGGCTGGGTGCCTGGGAGGGGAGAGGACCTGGGTCAGAGGCTGCAGGGTGGGGAATTAGCTCAAGTGGTAGAGCGCTCGCTTAGCATGTGAGAGGGAGTGGGATCGATGCCCACATTCTCCAGTGCTTTTCATTCCTCCTTGAGTGGATACATGGCCCTTCGCCAGGGATCCCTCTGCCTACTGGTGTTATTAGGAGCTATTTGTAGGTGGCTGCACAGACAACTACAGGAACTGGAGCTTTACCAGCAGGAGCAAGGGCTGTAGACTGGGGTATCTGCACCTTCCTATTTACTTGGGATTAGATCAGTATCCTTGCCCACCTTTATGCCAACTCAAGTGAAGTCTGCTGTTATTGAGAGGAGCAAAATATCAAACTAATTTTTAAGTATGGTAAAAAGGATGACTCGGGGAACCACCAAGCAGTGAGAGTCACCCTGCTAAGATCACAGAACAGATCCTCCTGGAATACACGTCTAGACCTATCAAGACAGGGAGGTGTTTAGAGACAGCCAACATGGCTTCACTGAGCACAAATCATGACTGACTAATCTGGTGGCCTCCTACATTAGACTGATTGCTTCAGTGGACAAGGAATGAGCTGGATGTCATCTACCTAGACTTTGCTAAAGCCTTTGACATCATCCCACACAACATCCTTGTCACACTAGGGGCACAGGGTTTGGGTGGATGGACTGTTCAGTGAATAAGGAATGGGTTAGATGGCCACATCCAAAGAACTGTAGTCAACAGCTCAATATCCAAGTGGAAACAAGTATCAAGTGGTGTCCCTCATGGTCTGTATTGGGAAAAATACTATTTAATATCTTCATTAATGATACCATTGTGAGTGGCATTGAATGCGCCCTCAGCAACTCTACAGATGACAAAGGGAGCAGTGCAGTTTATACGCTTTAGAGAAGATATTCCATCCAGAGAGACCTCAAAAAGCTCGAGGAGTGGGTCCATGTGAATTTCATTAGGTTAAACAAGCCTGGTGCAAGCTCTGGCACCTGGGTCAGGGCAATCACCAGTATCAGTACGTGCTGAGAGAGGAATGGATTGAGAGCAACTGTGTGGAGAAGGAGCTGGGGGTGATGGTGGATCAAAAACTTGACATGAGCTGGCAATGTACCTTTGTAGCCCAGAAAATCAGTCACATGGTAGGCTACATCAAAAATAGCATGGCCAGCAGGTGGAGGGAAGCTGTTCTGCCCCTCTATCACCCTCTTGTGAGCCCACACCTGGAGTGCCGTGTCCAGCCATGCATTCTCCAGCGTAAGACAAACATGGTTAGAGCTGGTCTGGAGTAGGGACACAAGACTGATCGAGGATGAAATACCTTTCCTGTTAAGACAGACTAAGAGAGTTGGGACTGTTCAGCCTGGAGAAGAGAAGGCTCCAGGAAGACCTAATAGCAACCCTTCAATTGATGAAGAAGGGTTGTAAGAAATACAAAGACACTTTTTAGCAGACCTTATGGTGAGAGAACAAGCAGAAATGGTTTTAAACAAAACAGGGTAAATTTAGATAATGTTAGAAGAAATTCTTTATGATGACAGTGGTGAGGCACTGGAAAAGGTTGCCCAGAGAACTTGAAGATACCCTATCCCTGCAAAAGTTCATGTCTGGTTGGATGGGCTTTTAAGCTACCTGATCTAGTGGAAGAGGCTCTTGCCCACAGCAGGAAAGCTGAACAACATGAACTTTAAAGGTTCTTTTCAACACAAAATATCCTATTATAATACAGAAAAGACAGATGGTCACAAACTGCAGGCTTTGGGTGGGCTAAGCAGAAGGTTTCACATGCCTCTCAGGAGGTTATTGATTCAACTGTTAGACCTTTTACTGTACTGATGGAAAGAAAAATAAGACAGTGAGCCACAACTGAAGCAGGAGAGATTCCATTTTTTCCCTCCTCAGGTCAGACAAGCAGGAGAAGAAGGGTGTCCTGGAGTGCTGTGCACTCCATGCTTAAAGGTTCATGTAATATAAATGGCTGAACCCTTGAGTCAGCTGCAGTGATCCTTGAGCTTGGGCTGCTGTGGGAGATTGGAAAAGAGATGCCCTGAGGCCTCATCCAAGCTGATTGCTTTGACTGCTCTGTCACAGAGTGCAGCGGCAGCTGGCCTCGAAGGGGAAAGTGACTGCCCCTTTGGGATGTCCCTGCTAGCTGTGGCCAGCAGCTCTGGGGCACTCTCCCGTTCCTTGCTCTGGTCAGGAGAGCGCCTAAGGCTTTCGCCTTGAGGGACGAGGATCCGCAATGAGAGGGCTGCTACCCAACAGGAGACAAAGAGACAGACTCCAGCTGTACTGCAATCCACATATACTAGCTGCAGGGAAACTAACAGCCAAAGAAACCAACCTGCATCCTGACCAACTTTTAAAGAGGGGAGGATACAGAGGTGGAGTCTGGTCTTCAATTCATCAGTGAGAGGGTGGGAGTAGGGAGAGGGTGACTGATATAGCAGAATAACCAATAGGAAAAAGCCTGGGGAAGAGCCCTGGCCCCTGAACCAATCCCTCGATGCCCTGGCTGGAAGGTTCTAGAGGAAAAGGATGGGTCGCCAAGTGATGGACAGGGCACCAGGGTGGAACTAAGGGACAGATACATAGGTTGCCAAGGGGAACAGGGAGGAGAAAACTGGACTGACAGGGCGAGTGAGAAGAGAGAACCAGGGCAGAACCACTACAAACAAAGGGGTACATGGAACGAACCAATTTACAACATAACTGTGCTAAAGCATACGAAACACGCTACAACAACAGAGGAAGAGCTTGTTTGGGTCCCTCCACAGCTCTGCTGGTGGAGTGAAGGGCTGTAGGCTCCCTTCCATGGATACACATCACATCTGTTGGGGTGCTGCCTGCCCTAATACATATGAAAGGCCCTGAACTGACCTCATGTGGGACCTCCATCTCCACCCATGGGTCTAGGAGCTCTATTTACATTAATCTCTCTTTCCATGCTACACCATGGGAATCTTGATCACTAGCTAAGGTAGAGCCATAACTTTGGATGCGTCCAGCCACAAAGACTCTTGATGCATACACTGATGTGCAGATGGAAGTTACTGCTTGACCTCAACCCTCTCTTGTCAGTCTGGACCTGCCTGGCACTCACTGGACACATGATCATCTTTCTGACCTCTGCACTGACTTCTGTACTTGCAGTGCCCGGTGGTGACTTCTGCTCTGGTCTCTTATCTGGGATGAGCCACCACAGCTGGGTCTGCCCTGGTTTGGTGTTGCGGACATGAGATTTTCTGGGCAATGTGGGTCTAAGGCAAGTGTTTCTTTTTTCCTCCTGGACAGTGTCATGCAGGTATATGTGATGTGGTGTGGAAGCTGAATGGCTGTCTGAGTGTGTGCTGGGTGAGGCCCCAGGCATGTTCCTGCAATTCCTTTGATAGCTCAGCTGGTAGAGTGCAGGACTGTAGGCTCCTTGCATGGCCATCCTTAGGTTGCTGGTTCAACTCCAGCTTGAAGGAGTCACCTTTTGCCTCTGGCACACATCCGGAACTTGCACTGCTCATTGCTGGGCAGCCCTAGAACGAGCTGCTCAGCCATGAGCCATTGTCTGATCTTGGGAAGATGACGAGCCAAGGCATTTTTGGGTGAACACTTGGTGACAGGCAGTGGTTCTGAGCCCGGGAGTTCTCTGCAGTCACCCCGAACAGGAAAGTGAGTGGGTGGGTGGTAGTGTGAAAGTAAAGTTGATTAGGGGGCCTCAGGCTTTGGGTACAGGACACCTTGGGTCAGGGCTGGGTGCCTGGGAAGGGAGAGGACCTGGGTCAGAGGCTGCAGGGTGGGGAATTAGCTCAAGTGGTAGAGCGCTCGCTTAGCATGTGAGAGGTAGTGGGATCGATGCCCACATTCTCCAGTGCTTTTCTATACCCCTTGCCTAGACCTGTGCTGCAAAGAAGAGAATAGCATCTAGGACTATGTCCATGGCAACATGAGCTGTGAATTGAAGGAAGTTCTGAGAATGATGGAAAGGATCCAGAATATTGTGCCCATCCTTGGGCCTCCATGTATCAAACCGACTTTGACCAAGTACAAAGAGCTCAGAATAAGGCCTGCAGGACTCCTGGAAGCCGGTGCACTTGCCCTTTGAGGAGAGCTGTTGAATGTGGCCTTGTGCAGATCTTGAAGAAGAAAGGGCTGTGTGGGAGATAAGCAAGCACTTATCAAAATGCCTATCAGGAGGTTATCGATTCAACATTTAAGCCTTTTGCTGTAGTGATTAATGGAGGAAAGAAAAATAACAGGCCACAACTGAAGCAGCAGAAGTTCCAATTTTTTCTCATCTATGAGAGAATGAAAACCTAAAAAGAGTTAATATCTCCAACACTGGATAGCAGACGAAAGGACTGTTTCCATGCTGATGAGATAAGGTGCAGTTAGAAAACAGCATCTTTCAATGCAGGATAACGTTGTCCTTGGATCAGCTTCCTTATCTTGTGTAACTATCTCCAAAACCAGGTATGAGACAGCACTGCACTTGTCTCTCTGACATCTGTGAAGGGAATCAAAACCATGAAGCCGCCAACCCCCTTCTGAAAAGTTTGAGAATAACAAAATGTGCATGCATAAGAGCTAGTCTATAAATAGCACAACTGAGATGGGTGGGGTGTGCAACCACCACACCAAGGAACTGAACCACAGGCAGGACTGGAACCCTGGCTGGTGATCCAGATCTTTTCCTCAGGTTTATCATCTGTCTATCTCCTTCTCTTTCTTTCTTCTTCTCTTCCTCTTCTTAAAAGTTTGAATTGCTGCTCCCATGGGCTGTTCAGAAAAAATTAGATCATTGCTGCCATGGGCAATTCAACTTATAATAAGGTTTAAACTTATTCAATTTACAATAAAGTTTGAATTGCTGCTGCAATAAATGATATTTTCTAATTGATCGTTTGGCATTGTTTTGCCTTAATTTAGCCCAAAGTTATCCTGAGTGTTAGTTGTCTCCAGGACTGCCTTCTAGGGACCTGATGTTTTATGGCTATCCCAGAAAAAATGGTCTAGGACCACCCTCTCAGGACCTGACACGTCCTCAGGTCAGCATGGTGGGAGAAGAATGTTGCCCTGGAGTACGGTGCAGTCTCCATGCTTGGAGGCTGGCATGATCTGACTGGCTGAAGTCTTGAACAAGAGGATGAGATTCCTCATCTAGGGCTGCTTGAAGGAGAAGGTAGACTTAGGGATTCCCTGAGGACTCATTCAAACTGATTGCTTTGAGAACACAATCATGGAGGCAGGGCAGAGAGAGGACCCTGATACTCTCTTGGTATCTGCTGGTGTACTGGGGTGTTTCTGGTTCTCTCACATGGTGACTATTACATCTTGTGTGGGCAGTAAGTGCCTGAATAGGCCTGAATGGCCCTCACCAGCCTCACATGGGGTTTGCACCTCCAACCATCAGCACTCTTTTTGTTCACATCTGGGCCTTCATGTTTTTTCTGTGTTAAAAAGCAGGAGTCCTGGTCTCTAGCTCACTAATGGCCAGAGCCATAGCACTATCAAGGCACAGAGACCTTGAATCCAAACCTGATGAGCAGACGAATGCCCTGCATTGACCTAAGCCCTGGCTTGTCAGTCTCGACCTGCCTGTCAGACACTGGACATGATCATCACTCCAACCTCTGCAGTGACTTCCATGCTTGCAGTTGTCCCTGCTTTGTCATGGTGATAGTGCCTTCTGTTCCAGATGATTGCTTCAGGTGACCCACAGTGGCTGTGTCTATCCTGGCCAGGGGTTGTAGGCTTGAGAAGCAATGTGAAATAAGTCAAGTCTTTCTTATTTCCTGCAGAGGATGGTAATGCAAATACAAGGGAGTGGTATTAGACTAGAATGATTGGATGAGTGTGTGATGAATGTCTAGGTGTCTAAATTTCATGCTTCCTTCGATAGCTCAGCTGGTAGAGCGGAGGACTGTAGGCTCCCTTGTTGCTGGTTCAACACCAGCTCGAAAGAGTCACCTTTTGCCTCTGGCACACATCCTGCACTGGCACTGCTGCCTTTTGGTCCTGCCCAGAGGGTTCCCCATACTGAGCTGCTCAGTCATGAGCTCTTGCCTGAGGTTGGGAAGATAAGTGACCAAGGCATTTTTAGATGAACCCTGGCCATAGAAAGTTGATTCTGACCACTGGGCTTGCCCGCAGTCACCTCCAGCAGGACTGTGAGTGGGTGGGTTGGTGGTATGAGCACGATATGAATGGGAGGCGCAGGCTTTGGGTGCAGGGCTCCCTGGGTCAGGGCTGGGTGCCTGGGAGGGGAGAGGACCTGGGTCAGAGGCTGCAGGGTGGGGAATTAGCTCAAGTGGTAGAGCGCTCGCTTAGCATGTGAGAGGTAGTGGGATCGATGCCCGCATTCTCCAATGCTTTTCATTCCCCTTGCTTGGACACAGGGCCCTTTGCCAGGACCTGTGGGTACTCAGAGTATATTCAGAATGCAAAGAATAAGATGACATCCAGGTCAGCATGGGCAATTTAACAGAGGTTTCTCCCTCTTTGCTTGATAAACATCAAATGTAATCTAAAGTATTGTGTCCCATTTTGAGATCTTCTATGCAGAAAAACAGTCAAAGAGCAATCTCTGGAGGGCCACCAAGAATCTCAAGGAATGGAAAGGTTTCCATGTGTGGATGGGATGAGGAGAGTGGGTATGATCAGCCTAGAGAAAGAGGGGTTCAGAGGACTTACACATGACCTTTTGACTTAGAGGAGGTTTCAGAATAGAATGCCTATAATGTGTCATCTCCTTGAGCAGACAGCAAAAGACAGTACAGTGAAAACAAATCAAGGGAAAATGAAGCAGGATATAAGTAAGATGTGTGTGACCGTGAAGAAAGTCCATCTACTCATGAAGAAAATGATGCCCAAGGAGCTTATGGAGCCTTTCTGTTTGTGGTTTGCATGACTGATGGGCTGAAGTCTTGAGCAAGGAGCTGTGATGTCTCAGCTGAAGCCGTTTGAAGCAAGGTGTGGTAACAGAGACATGATGATGCACTGTGCTTGGCAAAAGTGCTGGGTGTGAACAGGGTGAGGTCCCCCAGGGCATGTCCCATGCTTCCTTCGATAGCTCAGCTGGTAGAGCGGAGGACTGTAGGCTCCTTGCACGGCCATCCTTAGGTCGCTGGTTCAACTCCGGCTCGAAGGAGTCACCTTTTGCCTCTGGCACTCATCCAGAACTGGCACTGGCACTGCCTTGTGGTCCTGCCCAGGGGACTCCCCAGAATGAGTGCCCAGCCATGAGCTCTTGTCTGAGCTGCGGGAGATAACCAGCCAAGGCAGTTTTTGGTGAACCATTCCTTGGGCAGGGGATGGTGGTTCTGACCATGGGTGCTGTCCGCAGTCACTTCCAGCAGGAGTGTGAGTGAGTGGGTTGGTGGTATGAGAACGATATGAATGGAAGGCCCAGCCTTTGGGTGCAGGGCATCCTGGGTCAGGGCTGGGTGCCTGGGAGGGGAGAGGACCTGGGTCAGAGGCTGTAGGGTGGGGAATTGCTCAAGTGGTAGAGCGTTCGCTTAGCATGTGAGAGGTAGCGGGATCGATGCCCGCATTCTCCAGTGCTTTTCATTCCCCCATCCCTGGACACAGAGCCCTTTGGGGAGGGTCCTCCTGTCCTCTGAAGGGTAAGGAAACCTAGGAAGCAAAGTAGAGGACAGCATCCAGGACTTCTCCAAGGGCAAGGCCTCTGGATTGAGGGAAGGTATTATCTGACTTTCCTCTTCATTGGATAGATGCCATTTAGAATTGTGTGCCTGTTATATATAGGTTTATATAATTTTTTGCTATAATAGAACTAATTTCCTTCCTAATATGTGTGCTTTGGATTCAGAGTGTGAATAATGGTGGTTACACACTGCTGTTATAGTTCTTGGTAAGTGGAGTTTATGCAAAGCCAAGGACTTCTCAGCTTCTTGCACCACATCCCATCAGCAAGGAGACTGGGGGCACAAGAAACTGGGAAGAGACAGAGCTGGGACAGGTGACCCCAGCTGACCAAAGGAATGTTCCGTACCACATGACATCAGGCTCAGTATATACTAGGGAGAAAGACGGCTGGAGGCCACTGCTTACAAACTGTCTGTCTGGGCATTGTTCTGCAGGTGTTGAGCAATTGTGTTGCCTGTCACTTATTTTGTGTAATCTAATTCAGTTGTTGTTATTATTGATATTTCCACCTTCCTTTTCTGTGCTTTTGAACTGTCTTTTTCTCAATCCAAAAATTTTGCTTTTTTTTCTACCAGTTCTCTCCAAAAACCCTCTTGGTGGTGAGGTGTGTGAGCAGTTTTGCAGGGTTTAACTGCCTGCTGGGTTAAACCACAACAGCCCCTTTTGGTGCCTAAGATGAGGCTTGAAGGGTTGAGATAATGACAAATCTGACTAGAGTACATTAAAACAAATTTCTTTTAAGCATTCATTATATTAGTGTAATAATAGCTAATCCTGATATTGATTTATTTACTCTCAGAGTTGAGAGTAA